TAGACTTGACATAGAGGCATGAAAGAGGCACCGTTGGAAAGGGTTTTTCAATACGGATGCAGCTGTACTTGTTTTATGAGGATAAAACGATTTTGAAAATTTGACCAAAGTTGCTACAAAAACGTCAATAAAAAATAACTCAGCTTAGACTTGACATAGAGGCATGAAAGAGGCACCGTTGAAAAGGGTTTTTTAATACGAATGCAGCTGTACTAATGTACTTGTTTTATACGGATAAAACGATTTTGAAAATTTGACTAAAGTTGCTCTGTCTGAAAAGGGTCTACTCTACTGCAGGGATATGATGCAGGGAGGACAATCATTTCAGACGGTACCTGAATCCCAATTATACCCGGTCCGGTACGCCTTAACTAAAAAAGCTTATGAAATTGAAGGGTCCTTTTCATTCATTTAAAATTAGTAGTTTGATAAACTAATCTGAGGACTCGTACTTGGGATTTAATAAACGAAGAGCGCCACTGTGTGTTCAATTTAAAATGTCATATTTTCGAGAACAAGACACTACAAAATTTCTACTACAAACTCAAACGACATGTTGACGACTAAACTAAATGATGACTTTGCGGACATGCAATTCACTGATTTCATTAAAATAATATTGGCAATCGTACATTTCACAAACTATGTCTATATTTATCATTCTGAATATACAAAACACATAAGACATTACTAAATCGATCAGTAAAGATCTACATACCAGTAGAGCCCTAATCTACACGCCACAAGATAAATGATTCAAAATGGCGATATAGGTCATGAAGCAGATTTTTAAAAACAGAAAGTTGAAAACAATAATGCCTCAATGATTTATTTATGTGTCTCCGGGTGGAACAAGCTAGTTTTATAATGTTAATTTTAACGTTCTATTTAGATATGTTATATTACTATCATAATAAAAATACTGCATAACAAACGCAGTATCTATCAGTTGTTTGCTTTTTATATATATTTGTTTTATTTTAATTATTTGATTTTTTGGGGAGATATGAGTTATTTAACTTGGTCAGTTTTCAATATAATATTGAAAACAGCCTTAGTTAAAGTTAAAAAAAAATGTGTTACAATCAATGGCTAGATTATTTTTTAAAAGAACCGCTGCCAAATTACAGTGCTCATGGCACGAATTATCAAAACTAGGTTATAATATTTTATAAGGTACTTTGAAAGCACACGCCCACTTGGCCGATTTACAGTCCTTTCAAAGCAGACGATAATACCGTTTTGAGGGTTTTGCCAGATTGTAAAAAAAGTTTAAGATGTTTCATTGAAGAACGATGAGGACATCGTGGTTAAAAAAAAAAAAAAATATCATTAATGAAATCAACTCACAAAAAGGTATTACCTTCCTTAGAAGAAGGCAGCCAACATTGTGATTGAAATTAAAAAAAATAATGATGCAACAAATTATGCTTTTACAATCCAATAAGAACCATATAAAAAATTCAGTTACATATGCTTTACAAGAGGTTGCAGAACCGACCCCAGTTTCAGCATTTGTGTGTGTGCGTGTGGTTTTTTTTTAAATGGGTAATATTATGTTCAGTAGCTTGCCTTGCCAATAAACGGTCGCCTCTCGACGACATTGTCGAAATTCTTGCAAAGCAGCCTGCTGCCAAATCGCCTGAAGCTGAAATCGAGCCGAGAGATTTAGATGCACGTGATAACCCTGACTACCGAACAGAGTATTATTTACTTAAAAGCTACTATTATTGCTTCTGAAATTGAAATTCTTCCTGCAGTCATTGAGAAGAAGAAAACGAGTGTACATCGTAACAGCTAGACAATTGGAAGGAGACGCATATATGCATTTTAAAAAATGATGGACATTGCAAGAAACTTAAGGCTGTGGACAAAGTCCATTCATAAGTTTCTTGTCGGATGTTTAGTTGTATTTTTCATCCGTTGACTTTTCTAGTCACAGTTTGTGATGTATACAGTAACATCTTGATGTCCTATATATCTTGTTTCTAGTTATGAAAACATTATCAGCTCGAGAAATTATAATTAGCACAAAAGAAGGCGAGTTCTGGATCACCTTGGTCGGAATCAAAGAACAGCAATAAGAAGTAGAACAAGAACTAGAACAAGGCTACATGTAATAACAGGATTAACTTTACTTTCACCATTTTTTTAAAGCATCAGTCACACAAAACTCTGGCAATCGTGAAGTGTACAGAAGTTTGGTTACTCAAAAAAAGGTTTGATTTCATTGAATTTTGTTTTATTTTGCGATTGATAGTTATGCTCCTAACTGGCTACGAAACTTTGCTCATCAACGAATTTCATATACATTAAAAAAAAAAAAAATTCAAGCTAACAAAATCGTATATTTTACGGGAGAGATGTCTTGTATAACTCTCTTAGTTTTAGCAGCTTGATCTCAATGCTCTCAAGATTATGGCAGCAAAGGCAAAGGACATGTAACAAAGAATGTTGTTCAGTGTTCCAGAATTCGATCCTGTCAGTGATAGATATTGGACTTAAAATGCTTACCAAATCAAAGTGTCAGCTGATGAAACTTGAAAGCATTCATAATGAAGCAATGCGGATAATTCTGGGTTATACCAGAGACACCCCGGTAGTATGTTTATGAATTTGCATTGCCGACTATTGCCAGTAGGCTCAAAGTGCTGCAAGCAGAGTCATATCTCAGAGTAGCCGCAGATAAGAAAAACCTCCTGCCTGAAGCCCTAGACAGGGCTAAGGGTCACAGACTGAAACGAGGAAGGTCTTGGATGGTGCAAGCTGAAAACGCAATTGGAGCTGCGTGCAGGACTGATAACACTTGGCGAGGAGAGGAGTGGACCAGGATGTTCCAGGAAAAGTCAGACTTGTGTAGGGTGCTGATCACACTAGGCCATGGGTGCAGGGACTGGCCAGCGGGCGCTGCAGAATCGAAAGTTCAACAGTTGATTCAAAAAAATTCCCGTCTAAATGATGTGATAATCTATACAGATGACTCTAAGTTGAGAGACAGACGAAGCCCATGGGGGTTCTTTAAAAAATGAATGGACGTGGCACAATGCAGCAAAGCCTTGCATATGACACCACCACATCTAGTTTGAGAATGGAGGTGGAAGCAGTAACTACAGCCCTTCGCTGGATCGAGAATCAGCTGTACACACATGTCATAATTGTAACCGACTCACATGTCGAGAATAGTGGAGACCGGTATAATATGTAGAGTGGTATGCATCGCTTAAGAGGTCTCTGGTAGTTAGCGTCCTTTGGATATTTTCCCCAGGATGTGCCGATGTATTAGGGAATGAACAAGCAGATAGAATGGCTTGTTCTGCACAACTTGGTGGTGAATTGATCATTATTTCACTGCAAATATTGAATAGATCAGACGGTATTACACAGCCTGCAGTAACAATTGTTGTTGTTGTTATTTTTTAGTGTGTTTAAAAGTCCTTATTTGGTTTTCAGTTCATATGGCTGGGTTTTGTTGCCAATTTTTGTGTTAAGTAATACATTTCTTAGATGCAGATGTGTGCAGATGTTTTAAGTTTTCAACATTAAATTGATAAAATGTTTGACCTTATCAAATAAGTCAACGATTTTTAAATTATTTAAAGCAGAACCTTTACAGTCACTTTTGATCACTTTTAAGTTGAATAAACATTGTTCTTTCTTTCTTCCTTCAACAGAACTCAAGTCCCTATCGATATTCTTTGCTGAGTAGCAGGGCAAACTGCAACATTTGTTGGGTATTGGAGAGTTGTAACATATCACTCATCAGCAATGGTATCACTTTCATGTAGAGGAGTAAAAGAACAATTTTCAGAGCAACGCTCCCAATTTTGCAGTGAACGTGTTTTACAGCACCAAAATGCCGAGTATTCAGATGATAGATCGAAATTCCGGGACTTTTGTGGCGATTGTGCAGATCTGGGGACAGTAATTAAAATATTTCACAAGACTAAGGGTACAAAAGGGAGGCAGGAGAAACGTTATAAACCATTTATATCTTCACTGTCTGCATGGACAAATTCACCATCGGAAGATTCATGCTTGGAAATATGTCAAGTTCCAAGATATCACACGTCCTTTACAGAAACCAGAAATCAGTATCCTGAGCTCTCACAGAAACCGCTTCCTTCAAACAACGCATGTTTCATTGTTAAAATAAGTGAAATGAATGAATTCTTTAAACTTACTGGTAATATCTTTCATGTAACTATTTCTGTGTTCATACATTTGAAAAGTATAGTTATCTATCGTTATACAACTGAAAAAAAAAAAAAAAACGCAAAGGATCCTAATTTTGTCGTAATTTTCCCATTCAAAAGCATTGCAATTTAATAAGTGAAATTGTTCACACTGAACACAAGAATACTGTAGGGTTCAAAAGTCATTTGACCACCCCCCCCCCCTCCCCCACCCGGGTTATCGATTGTTGTTTTGCCTACAGGCTTTCCCGTCAACTAATGAAAACACGTTATCAGATTGCTATCCCATTTTTTTAAAACTATATTCTAGATAGTCGGCTAAGTCGATGCGAACGCTTCGTAATGCCGGGGTGTCGGGTTCGATCCCAGCTGCTGGCCATGCGCCTTGCGTTGGTTTCGACAGTGGTATCAAGAAGCCGACCCTCCAGAAGCAATGGCAAACTACTGGGCGTAAATTTGCCTAGAAAAACCACACAACAGCCAGGGGTTGTTGGGATTGGCTCTGCAACGTCCTGTAAAGGATACGCAACTAACCTACATTTTAGATAGTGACGTTAGTGGCAGGTTCGTCGGAGCCCGAGGACTAATGTATCTGTGCCCCCCCCCCCCCCCTTTTTTTTAACTCAAAAGAAATGGTATGAGGGCTAAAATATTATGATTATTGCTTTGCATTTTTCCCCTGTGTATTCTGGGGCCCGGTTGATTTGGGGGGGGGGGGGGGCGGACAAAAATAGACACACTGTCTCCCTAACAAGCATGCCGTAGAAGTCGACAAAATGGGGGTAATTTTTGAAGTCTTGTACATCTGCCTGACGGTCAAGAAACCAAGAGCCTGCATACAAATGTCCCAGATCTATGAAACAGATGTGCACGCAACGCTCAGGTTATGGAACAAGAGTAAAGTCCAGAGGTGGATGAACACCCAGAACTTTCCGCAGGAGTTTACAGCTGGTGAACGCGAAGAAGACGAAGTTTTCAATGTTACTTCAACGCTCAGGTCATTTTATTCATCATCCCCGTGTGTGTTCCGAGGCCCTGTTGTAGGGAAAACAAGAATAGACCCACTGCCTGCCCAAAAGCATGTGGTAAGAATCGACTAATTGGGAGCTTTCTTCGAAGTCGAAGTACACCTGCCTGAAAGGCACACAAAAACCAACAAGCTGCATATAAATGAGTCATATCTGTAATTGTAACACTCTGGTTCTGGAAAAATACTTGTCCAGAATGGACGAACAACCAGAATTTTCCACTGGAGTTTACAGCTGGTGAACGCAAAGAAGAAGAAGGTTTTGTTCATGCCATATACATATATGTTTTAAGTGTGTGTGTGGAAATGTCCATCATTGCTCTAGGCAACACAGGAGTCACATAACGCGTGGCAATGCACATCTGTGAAAATTGGATAGTCCTGAAGGATGTGTTCTGGAAGGTCATAGGTTCATATTATGGATGCCTCGTTCAGTTCATGAGTGCCGTTTCTAGAGAGATCCCGTGGATTATCGCTGGAGCCACGGCGTCATTGCTTTGTGTGCCTTCCTTGACAGACGGCTAACCGTTCTGCGGAGAGAGACCTGGCCATATGGGGTAATACCCTGTACAGTGAAGTCGATCCTCTCGACTTTAAAAACTTTAAATCTGTGGAAGACTTCAAGATGACAGCGATAGATCTTCTATGGCTATTGCTAGTCCTGCACTTCATCCTTAAATGGGATGTTATCTCAAGGTCTCTTAGGCTCCCCAAAACTTAATTGTAAAGTCTACTGGATGTAGTCACCTGTTGTATCGCAGCTGCTCCGGGAGAGAACAGTCTTGCAAGACATGGCCTGGGGTGTGTTCAGCACGAAGACACCGACAGAGAGCTGCCTGGATATACCTAATTCTGTTTGAGTCTTGAGTTTAGGCAGATGACCAGGTAACTTATAGTGACCAGTATTTACACGTAAGACTGTTAAGTAGCTTGTGCATGGGTGTTGATGGGTTAAGGCTGGTTTGCTTTTCATGAGTAAGGGGTAAGTTGACTGGGTGATAATGTTGGTCCATTAAGTTGTGTCCAACTAATTTAAGTACCTAGCCAATGTATTCATTGGGGATAAAGGATTGCACAAGGAAATAAAAAACAGAATACACGAGGCCAACAACATAAATGATAAAATACCGCATTTTTGAGGCATCAAAATATCAACATGCCTTCACAGAAAGAAGCTTATCTTCTTCTTCTTCTTTGCGTCGTCCAGCTGTAAACTCTGGCGGAAAGTTCTGGTTGTTCATCCACTTCTGGACTGCAGTCCTGTTCTAGAACCTAAGTGTTGCATGTGCATCCATTTTACATATCTGACTCATTTATATGCAGACTGCTGGTTCCTTAATTCTCAGGCAGATGCACTCCGACTTTGATGGAAGCTCCTAATTAGTCAACTATTTTAGGTAAAGAGTGGGTTTTTTCTTGTTTTCCATATATAGGGCCCCGGAATCGATAGAGGGAAGGGAAGCTAATAAATGCACTATTCCTACCAACTCTGTGCTATCAGTGTCAGACATGGACAGTCCTAGGAAAACTGAAACACTGAATTACAACATATGAGTTCAGTTGAGTTAGAAATGCGGCGAGAAAAGCAAAAGGAGACAGTCACCAATAAGGAACTAAAAACAATGGTAGACACAGTAGCGGTTAATGATTTCATAGAACATCAAAGAATCAAATGGTTTGGTCTTCTGGCCAGAAAGGAACAAAATCAGCCAGCACACACACACACACATGCACAGGGAGAAGGGAGTTGGAAAGTGAAGTTAGGAGGATGATGACATGGGATGAGCTGCAAGCGATATTAAAGGGCATTATGAATTGACTTGGCGTGGTTGAGGGTCTATGCTTTATCAGGGGACAGAGTGCAGAAGAAGAACTCATACTGGCAGAAGACCACATAATACAAATCATACTAAAATAGGGGAGGGGGGAACAGTGGCTTGCAACCTTGCGTTCTTGTATTTAGATTAGGATAATCTCAACAAATACAAACATTGCAACGAAGTTTAAAAAGTTACATTTTTGTGTGATGACTTTCTAATTACGATGCTGCAGATGACACTGTGATACAAGACTTCCTCCGATCTGATGGATGCAAGAGAATGGCCGACAAGGTAGCAAGTGAATTTTTTTCTTATCTAGCATTGTTTATTGTTCTTTTAAAGGTCATTTTCATAGGACCTGACTATAAGTGCTCCGATCTTCTCCTGAGTATGTCGGCAAGTGTTTTTAGGCTAACAACTCCCATTCTGTTCTGGCTCATGTAACGACAGGCAGCTTCCGCGTGGTTTTGTTGCCTCGTTGCTCCAATTGGTGCACCTAAGGTATGCGGTCTGTTCAGTGAAAAAATCATGTTCTACGAAACAGAAAGCTTCACAGCGTTTAGTCTTTCGTGTGGCATTGATGATGTCTCTCCTGCGCATCGACGGCCCATTCCTGATAGTTGCACTGCCAGCCAGAGCTATTTAGAAGATTATAATAAGGGTATTCGTCATCATCATCATCAGCAATAATAACATTCATCTATTGTGCCGTTATTTGTTACATAGGACGGGTAGCCTTTTCCATTCTATTTTACCCTGCACTACCCGGCCAACCCTTTCGATATCATCGATGGAATCCAGTCCAGTACCTTTGACTTCTCTCATCAACCTTTATTTCAGGGTTTCGCATGGACGTCTTGGTCCTCTCAGTCAGTTTGTTTCAGATTTCAGCGTCTGTTCCGTGATACTCTGCTCAGTTCTTATTATCATCATCATCATCATCATTGTGCCTTGCCGACTGGCGTGGGTGATCACACCTCCACAATCTGCCATCCGCAACTGCGTGTTCGTGTGCTAATACTCTTCCATGCCATGATAAAAATCTGACAAGAAACTTCTCACGATGTCTTCCCCTGTCTCTCTTTCCACGGATCTTTCCAGTGGTCACAACATGTTGCAGGTTCCCTCTTTCCATAACAGGGACTAAACAAATATGATGACTGTCTCATCTCTTCTTCTTCTTCTTCGCGTTCACCAGCTGTACACTCTGGTGGAAAGTTCTGGTTGTTCGTCCACTTCTAAACTGCAGTCCTGCTCCAGAACCTGAGTGTTGCGAGTGCATCAGTTTTACATATCTGATTCACTTGAATGCAGACTGTTGGTTCCTTGCCTCTCAGGCAGATGCACTCCGACTTCAAATTAAGCTCCCCAATTAGTCGACTCTTACGATATGCTTTTGGGTAGGCAGAGGGTCTATTCTTGTTTTCCCCACAATGGGGCCCCGGAACCCACTCGGGGAGACTGTCTCATAATATACCTCTAGTTTAGCGCCGTCTTCTTTGTCTTTGAACTATAGATACCAGTGGCTGTCCAGACATTTTCATCTTACTTGAATAAATCACATTTTATGATTACCAGGATATGAAAACATTCGTTTTCGAATGCATTTAACGTTTGTTTCGTATTTTGAGGGGTTCTCAACTTTCACTGACAGATGTTAAAACGGCAGTGACATTTTGTTGTTTTACAACTTGGTTTCATATTGTGTTCAGCCTTTTTAAAAGTTTTTTTTCATGGGTTCTGAAAACACATGGTCCTTGAAAAAATCAGCGAAAGAACTCTTCAGTTTATGGACTGTGTAAACCTGATGCAGATAAATTAAATAAATATGTATGTTTGTTTCTCTTTAGTACCTAATTGCTATGGTATTTGCCTACTTCAAGAGGGCAAATTTCTCCACCAGGGACTACACAAGAATGAACTTCTTTGTCGGACTGTAAGTTTTCTTACATTCCTTACATAAATTTAGTGCTATTTAGTTACATATATATTTTGAAATCATCCCCCCCCCCCTTTTCTTCTTCTTCTTGTTCTTTTTCTTGTTCTTCTTGTTCTTGTTCTTCTTCTTGTTCTTCTTGTTCTTCTTCTTTTTCTTCTTCTTCTTCTTCTTCTTCTTCTTCTTCTTCTTCTTCTTCTTCTTCTTCTTCTTCTTCTCTTCTTCTTCTTCTTCTTCTTCTTCTTCTTCTTCTTCTTCTTCTTCTTCTTCTTCTTCTTCTTCTTCTTCTTCTTCTTCTTCTTCTTCTTCTTCTTCTTCTTCTTCTTCTTCATTTTCGCCACCAACTGTAAACTCCAGCGGAAAGTTCTGGGTCTTGCCTGCGCTATTTGTATGCACACTGTTGGTTACTCGCCTCTTAGGAAGAAGCACAACGACTTCGAAGTAAACACCCTAACTAGTCGCTCTTTGTTATCGTTGTTTGGCCCACTCAAAATATAGGACCCCTGATCCGACAGGAAGAATATTGACGTAAATTAATGTGTATTGCATGGTTATTTTAGGCTGACACTGCTTGTATGTTGAAGGGATTCAGATGGGAAAACAAGTCCTTAGTCAAGGTTCCAGCCTCACTGCAAACGGGTTGTCACATAACTGCTCCCTTCCTGTGGAGAGTACACAAAATGCCCTTCACTCTCCCATTTTAAAACTATCGAAACATTTGTCAGTCCCAGCAAAAATCTTGAAGCTTGCACACGCAGAGTAAAAATGCATAAGGCGGTTGTCAGTTGTGCCGGCTTTAATGTCCATGCACCATAATTGCAGCTCACTGTTTAACGCCAGCATTTAATCTCGAAAGCCGGTTTTGCACCCGCAACAGTTTTTTTTTTAACCTCACTTGGTCTTCTTCTTCTACCTTGGGGTGTAGAGGTTTGTCACATAGATCGCCAGACCTCTCTGTCAGAAGCTTTCTGTTTGGCTGTGTTCCACTCGAGTCCTCTGTCTGTCAGGGACTATCGAATGTTGTCTTCGCAGAGAACCCTGCCTTCTACTGCTGGTCTGGTTCCCTGGTTCTTGGCCTCCCATGTCTGTCTTGATGACCGATATGTATATTTTTAAAGGAGAACGTGTGCACTGGGAGAAGGAAGAAGAGTTGGTGGCTCTTTACAAATTTAGTGGAAGGGTGACTGACCACCCCCCCCCCCCCCAGCCAACATTTGTAAAGGTGCTCAAGATGCTAACGCCCCCAGGTTCCGTAACAGAGGGGTAGGTAGATTGAGCTTGAAACTGTCTGTCTCGCCCCATTGAATACCATTGCTGTAAACTCCAACAAAACAAGAACAAGTCTATACCAGCAGACTTGAGGCGAGTTAAACTATTCACATTTTCTCAGCATGTGTCCTATCCAACGCCAGCAGCTTTTCTTCACCTCTTGATTCACTGGAATACGTTCAGGTCTCTCAGAGCTCTGCACTTGTCATTCTGTCATCCCGTTATTTCCTTCTGTTTCACGCAGGAAACAGTTATTAATGTGTGTGGTGTATTCCTTACGTCTGCTGTGCTTTTAGTGTATGTTAAATTTGCGTGCTGAAAATTAATTAAAGAAGAAATATGTCGAGACCTGTGTACATGTTAACGTTAACATTAACATTAAATGAATACTCTAAAGTGAAAGTAAAAAACGCATTTTTTTCCCGCTGATGGCGCATGTAGCTCTGTTTCTTAGCGTTCACTAACTGTCCACTCTGGTGGAAAGTTCTGGTTGGTCGTCCACTTCTGGACTTATTTAAAAACTTGAATTTACATGCACGTCTTTTTTACAGATCTTGTTTATTTGTTTGAAGACTGTCTGCACTCCGACTTCATTGTAATCACACGCTAAATTAGTTGTCTTTTACGACGTTCATGTGATAAGGGCAGGAGGTCTGTTTTCTTCCCTCCCACCCCCATCCCATCCATGGGGTCCCGGAAACCACACAGGGAAGCGCGTGGAGCATTTAGTGCTAGACCTATAGTTTTATTGATCAATCAACACTCAGTGGGAGATTTCGTCAGCATCACGCCGGTCGCCTTTACTTTCTAGGAAATTTCCCGTTACACATTGTAGATAAGGTCGACTTGGGAGCCAAGGTCAGTTTTGAAGAAAAACTCGTTTTGAAAAAATCCACCTCAATGAGGACCTGAACCTAAGATCTTAAGATCAGTATGCTAACGTCGAGCTTCTGCGCTACTGCGGCTTCTTGAATTCATACTTTTGTTGTTGTTGCTTGTACGCTTCCTATTCTGTCCTTTCTGTAAAGATATATTATAATTCTTTATTTCTGGCGCAGTAAATCTGAAGCGGTAAGATGTTTCACTTGATCTTGCAGTAGATAACATAGAGAACTTGACCTCTGAGGCTTTCGTAATTGTGTCAGAGCGGGTTGTTGTTCATCCAGTGGTGCTGTTTGTACCAGGTTCAAGCAAACCTGATTTGGTTGTTAGTAACGTGTTGCTTTTGAAACTGGTTCTGAGCTGTTTTTATTATTTGTCCAATTTATTTGTTCTTCTTGATTCAAAACTGCAGGGTTTTGGAAGAAATTGGGGGTGGGGGGGGGGGGGGGGGGGTCCTCATGTTTTTGTTGCTGTTGTAACCAACTCAAACATGTTGTTGTTGTTGTGTCGGTTTGTGCGCTCGGTATAGTTTTTTTTTCTTGCACCTTGGTCTTGTTTAGTAAAGTCACTGTTGATTTGTTGATCGGTTTAGAATCCCCTGAGTGTCTTATCCACTGGCAGTTATGTCGTCTAAGTCATGCATGTCAGACTGAGAGTCCCCCCCCCCCCAGCGGGGGTTGGGGGGGGGCACGAGAGTAGACTAATCGGGTGCTTCCTTTAAAGTCGGAATGCATCTGTCTTGGAGACATGGAACCAACAGTCTGCATACAAGAAAGTCAGATCTGTAAATCGGATGTGCACGCAACACTCAAATTCTGGGACAAAAAACCTGTTTCATCTAGAGACATTCTATTTTAATTATGTGTAATACATTTCATATTATTTTTGATGTATTTATTTGTCATTCATCACACAATAAGAGTAATTACCATTATTGCTCACTTAATCACAGCTTAAGTCCATTCAGAAACCTATCCCTAGAAAATTATTAGGGAGCTGAGTCATCGTCCAAATGTTTCCTTAGTGGCGGCACCGAAATATGCGGAGAGAGATATTAGGAGAATTCGAAACAATTAGTCTCATATCCTTTACAGGACGTTGCAGAACCAACCTCAGTATTTTTCAGGTGTTGTGGTTTTCCTAGGCAAATGTAACGTCTAGTAGTTGGACGCCCTTATCGGTCGGATCATAATACTACTGTCGACAACAATACTGCCTAATCTCTTTGCAGTTGAGTTAGAACCCGGCACAACAGACATTACGAAGAGTGTTCGAAGCGCCTAAACTACAGACGCCGACAGTAGCAGAAGAAGGTGTGGCCAATTTATGATTCAGCTCGGATCGGGTTTCGTGTTGGTGAAGTTTCTTTCACAGGAGTTATTAATTATTTTATTAGTAACCGACTCCCTTCCACTGTCCGGGGTATAGCCACACTACCAAGCCATTTATTGACTGCAGGTTACTTCGTATTAGTAGGGTAGTCAAGATATAACTGTGATTGTAAAGCTGCACGTGGTTTCTAGGATATGTGAGAGAGCAAAGGCACATCCAAGACAGTAATAATGTATCTCCTCCTCTGTCTTCTTCTTTTTCCTTCCTTCCTTCCTTCCTTCCTTCCTTCCTTCCTTCCTTCCTTCCTTCCTTCCTTCCTTCCTTCCTTCCTTCCTTCCTTCCTTCCTTCCTTCCTTCCTTCCTTCCTTCCTTCCTTCCTTCCTTCCTTCCTTCCTTCCTTCCTTCCTTCCTTCCTTCCTTCCTTCCTTCCTTCCTTCCTTCCTTCCTTCCTTCCTTCCTTCCTTCCTTCCTTCCTTCCTTCCTTCCTTCCTTCCTTCCTTCCTTCCTTCCTTCCTTCCTTCCTTCCTTCCTTCCTTCCTTCCTTCCTTCCTTCCTTCCTTCCTTCCTTCCTTCCTTCCTTCCTTCCTTCCTTCCTTCCTTCCTTCCTTCCTTCCTTCCTTCCTTCCTTCCTTCCTTCCTTCCTTCCTTCCTTCCTTCCTTCCTTCCTTCCTTCCTTCCTTCCTCCCTCCCTCCCTCCCTCCCTCCCTTCCTTCCTTCCTTCCTTCCTTCCTTCCTTCCTTCCTTCCTTCCTTCCTTCCTTCCTTCCTTCTTCTCCTTCCTTCCTTCCTTCCTTCCATCCTTCCTCTTCTTCTTCTTCTCCTCCCGCCTTCTTCCCCTCCTCTTTCTCATCTTCTTCTTCTTCTGCTGCTGCTGCTGCTACTAATACTGCTGCTGCTGCTACTACTACTACTACTACTACTACTACTACTACTACTACTACTACTACTACTACTACTACTACTACTACTACTACTACTACTACTACTACTACTACTGCTGCTGCTGCTGCTGCTGCTGCTGCTACTACTACTACTACTCATTCTCCTCCTCCTCCTCAGCCACTACCACCACCCCTTCTTTGTACCTTTAGACAACATAGCTACGATGTTCGCTACTTTCGGCAAACATATCCGACTTGAGAGATCTATTGTACGGTTAGCCTTCTCAGAATCACGCACTTGACATTAACCGTTGGTGACGTACACAGATATGTAGACCTGACGTGAATGTTAATTCTTCTTTTATTAATATCTGCTCTCTGCGGCTAGATGTTAAAGTTTAACAGATGATAGCTAGTCTAGCCAGGGCGAGCTCGGGTGCTTGGTATGCTGTGATGTCGTCAGGCTGTCAGTCTTCTTTTTCTTCTTCGCGTTTACCAGCTGTAAACTCCTGAGGAAAATTCTTGTTGTTCGTCTACTCCGGTAGATGCACCTTACTTTAAGGGAAACCCCACTAATTAGTCGCATGTTGTACGCACTCGCTGTCAGCATCATTGGATTAATTTTTGACGAGTTTGTCAGATCCATTCAGTCTTTGTTTGTCAATAAATTTAGCGATGGTTGTTGTTCCGACAGTTCTTATATAAACTTTTCGTTTCTCACACGATCTCTTCTGGTTTTGTTCTCAGCCCTTATGAAACATCTGCTTTTATAGGCGTTTAGTTTTATCTCGTATTCTGTGGTAAATGTTCAAGTCTGACACTGGTAAGCTAAAACTGAAACAGAGATTTGCATTTATAATTTGTCTTTTCTTCGTTTTCTTTTCGTTCGTCCGAATTACGTAATTGTGCTGTGCGTGTTGACAATAAAGCTGCGATGTTTACCCCTTGCGGCCGACACATCCGTCTTCATCGAGCGTTGACTTCCTGGTAATTTGTCTTTCGGTCTCCGTTGAAATTGCCAACACGCCAGCAAGAGACTGAGAGCCAAAGAAACACTGGGAAAATGCAATATTACTTTAAAGACAAGCTATGCAACTATCAAAATATAGGAAACTACATCAGACCACTGTTTTCGAGGTTTTTTATGGCCTTTTTAGTAGGGCAGAATGAGAAGAAAAAGAAGAGAAAGAAGAAGAAGAAAAAGAAGAACAAGAACAGGAACAAGAAGAAGGACAAGAATAAGCAGAAGATGAAGAAGGATTAGCTGAGTTTGCAAGATTACGATAAGTGATAGTAACGTTGTCGGCTTGTGTGATTTCCTTGCATGTCTCACTGTCTAGTCTGTGAGTGTCTTCTTCTTCTTCTTTCTTCTTCTAATTTTCTATCCCCAATGGAGCATAGGCCCTCAACCAACTCACGCCAAGTCGTTCTATCCTTCGCCATTACATTGAGCTCTCCCCATGTCCTCTTCATCTTTCTAACTTCATTCTCCAGCTCTCTTCTCCATGTGTTTTGTGGCCTTCCATTATTCCTTTGCCCCTGTGAGCAAAGATATTCTAGTTATATTGTTCTCCTGATTTCTCAATGTGTGCCCTATCCAACACCAGCGTCTTTTCCTCACCTTTTGGTCCACTGGAGCCTGTTTAGTTCTCTCCCAAAGCGCTACATTAGTAATTATACCATACCATTGAATTCCTTCTATTCTGCGCAGGCACCAGTTAATGAATGTCTGTAATTTATTAGTAATTGCCTTAGTTGTTCTCCATGTTTCTGTCCCATACAAAAGTACTGATTTGACATTATAATTAAAAATTATTATTTTAGTATTCCTTTTAATTTCTTTTGACTTCCACTAATTCCCTAATGCTATGTCAGCTCCTCTTCCCTTTTGTATTCTACTGTACATTACATGTTTACTTCGCTGCAGGTACCTTGCTAGTGACGTTGAAGAGGACGAGGAAGAGATCAAGTATGAAATATTCCCCTGGGTGCTAGGCGTTAACTGGAAGACTAAGTACCCCAGCTTTCTGAAACTGAGGGACTCGTTACTCAGAAAGATCGACTACAAGGCCATTATAAGTAGACGTTGTTGTGATGAGGTTAGTCAACTTAAATTATTTATGTTGATTACTTCAACATCAGTTTATCAGTGCCAAACGTGGACAATGAACAAATCACATATGCAAAAAATAACTACGTGTGAAATGCGATGTCTCCGAAGAGTCACCAACAATACACGAAGAGACAGAGTCACAAACGTCAGCATTAGAGACAAAGTTGGAACAAGAGCATGCATGAAACATATTGAAAGACAGAGAATGAAGTGGTTTGGCCATTTAGTAAGAATGCAACCGGATCAGATTGCCTATAAGACCTTTTACAGTAAAACATCGGGAAGAAAGGCCAGAGGAAGACCCAGGAAAAAAATGGATAGATGAAGTAGCTAAATACGGCCAGAAAATCCTGAAAACTGTCACTCAAATCACGCGAGAGGCACAAAACAAATATTTTAAACCACGACACTGGGGGCTGCAACCCGGTAAAAGTGAAGAAGACAATAGATAGACTTCAACATCGGGGGCGCCCGAACTCATGGGCTGAGTCAGACTGAGCCAATTTTTTGTTTTTGCTAAAAGGGATGGGGTGGGGGGGGGGGTTATAGGGGCACTAAGCTGCCTCAACCTTATATAGTTAGGGGTTCCCGTGACGAAGTGGCCAAGCCATTTGCCTCGTACTCTGAAGATTGTGGGTTCGTTTTACGGCGGTGCCCTTCAGTTTAGGAGTGCAATTTTTAATGATGGCTCTGGTATCGTAGCGCGATTATTCTCGGCAGGCAACTAACCGTTCCGCGGAGAGAGACTGAGCCATCTAGGATAAAATGGGGTACAATGAAGTTGATCCTCTCTACTTTAAACTTAAACGATACTTTAACGTTTTTTTTTTTTCCAAATAGGTGTTTGATTATAAATTATATATATGACATAACGTCAGTGTTAAAACAATACATGTGAACTCCACGTATGGGTTCCTGGACCTCCTTCGGGGAGGGGTGTGGGGGGGGGGGGGGGGTGAGGGGATAGACCCAATGTCCCTGCCACGCATTTCGTAAGACTAGTTATGGGTTTTTCCTCAAAGCTTAGTACGTCTGCTTGAGAGGCGAAATACTGTGGATCAATGTAAAACATGAGTAGCACTCACATAGAGCCCTGACCTTTTCATTTGAAAACCATGGGCAGGGAGAGCGAAACAAAGCAACTAATGTAAAGTCGGGAGATGTGAACCAGCGTCATTGCACGCGGTTGTAAACCATAAGTGTTCTGCCACCAGTACGGACAGCTGATTAGAAACTGTCCGCCTGTGTCGCCGTCCGCACGAAGCTCCGTAGCTACAGCGACGTTCCTCCATTTACTCCAGAGTGTTAACTCTGGTACCCATTTCCTAGCGGCTGGGTGAACCACGGGAACCGTCCGGTTTCGAACACCGGCTGTGGGCTGCAGCGAGTCGCAGCTGGATTTGAAAGCGAGTCTCCTATCGACTGCGCTCTGCGTTTGACAACAAGGTTAACGTGTAATCGCCACCTCAAGGGCATAAAATTATATTTAATAAATAAATAACCCAGATATTTTCAACGAGGGGAAGGTCCCAGGACAAACTAACTCAAACATCAGAAGGAGTCGGTCATCATGTTATGGTCAGTTATGATAATAGGGAAGCTGGACATGAAAGAGAGAGGAAGACGCGAGAAGATTCTTTACTGCCTTTGTCATGCTATGTAGGAGTGTCAGCACAAGAACTGCTACATTGTGTTCACGATCGCCAGTCGTCAAAGCGCTTTATGATGATAATGAGGAAGTAAATAATTGATTTAATAATAAACCCAACTTCAAACTTCCTTGTTCATGGCCAATATTCTTTTCAGATAATGCTTATTCGGCGAGACAATATTTTATGGAAACGCGAATGATGATAATGAGGAAGTAAATAATTGATTTATTAATAAACACAACTTCAAACTTCCATGTTAGTGGCCAATATTCATTTCAGATAATGGCAATTCAGCCAGACAATATTTTATGGAAACGAGAACGACCTCTCCATCATGGAGGGGCCATACGAAACTACATGAAGGACCCAGAGGATGATGGTTTTCCTCGTGGCCCACATGCTAACCCGCGGTTCTGCCCAGAATGTGATGCAACAGACAGCCAGTATGATTCAGCCAGCCCGGCGAGTACATCTTGGTTCATATCGTCTCAGGAAACTTCTCCAGACGATGGAGGTATGTACGCTCGTGTGTTAGTTGCTTATCCTTTACAGGAGGTGTGATTATTTACATTAAGGAGTCCATGTTAAAGGGCTGAAAGAGTGGAAGGGGTTTTATTGCAGAAGCATGTGGGAGAAGAATGACCGAGGAGAGCTTGGCATATGATATTCCACATCCAGGATGGGAATGGAGGTTGAGGCGGTAACTGTGTCCTTTTGATGGGTGGACAAAATCTCAGGTGCACATGTTGTCAGAGTATCGGATTCACAGAGCTTGCAAGGAAGGTGAAGTCGTGTTTTCTTCAAATGGATTGCGTCGCATCTATCTAGAGGTGGTGAAAGACACGTGAATATTTTGCCCAGACTATGTAGGCATGTTTGGGGTTGAGCAGGCAGATAGGTTGGCCAGCCCCAACCCCAATTGGGTTGTATTGCAACTTCACAAAACAGAGAGGATCTCTTGCCCGTGGGAAGAAGTGACAAGTAAAAAGGAAGATACTGAAAATCCGTACCTGGAAAGAATGAGGCAGCCAGAAGTGTTTGCGAGCTATGGGCGTCACTCGAGACTCGGGGACAAAAACGAGTACTTAACCTGATGATAACGCGTACCAGCAGTATAGAGCCTCTTCGCTGGCTGTTGATGAAGGAGACGGAGTTAATATTGTGCTTGTTCTGAATGCTGTGATACTGAATCTTTACCAAGATGAACCCAGAGCCTGGTACACATTTTAAGGCGAGACAGGCTGTGAGACAATCTCACTTGTAAAAATCTGACTCGGTGCGGATTCATACTCAAGTCCGTCTGACCACTATGATGTTGCGTGGTAGAAGTCACATGGGTAGTTTGCCCAGGCTGTGCAGGTGTGTTTGGGAATAAGAAGGCAGACAGGTTGTCTGGAATGGCTTAAGACCGTCTCCATCTGACGGGCCATGCTGCTGAAGTCACCAGATCGGACTAACGATACGTTAAGTTCACACTCTGACAGTCCCGTTTTTTTGGCGCGTTTCCTACAAAAACTATAGGAATAAGGTTAAGAATTAAACATATAAATAGTTGCAATCTATGTATGCTGCATATATAAAAGGTACTCCACTCTAACAATACAGGTATTCACTATAATTAACCAACTATGACTCTTAGACGCCAAGATAGCATTTGGGGTTAGACTAACAAGAAGCTACCCAGGTGCAATATGCACAACAAGACAGCTGACATAAAGAGCAATAAAGTATGATAACATCTACAAAGTGGAATCTATAGGCCTGGAACAAGCTTTTAGCAGAGTATAAAAGAATTTGCTAGGAGTTGCATAAAAAAGATATGAAATTGTCAACCAACCGTATTCTCAACGGTTGTAAAAGTTTATATACATCAAATAAAAAGTACATAACTGAAAATATGCGAATGCTGCGTTGATTGTTACTGAAGGAACTGAGGTTCACGTTAGCTTATTCTGCATCAAGCAGCTCTTTTAGTTTCTACTGAAACTATAGGAGTCGCTGTGGTGCAGGCTCGCCTGCGGATTAGAAGGTCGGGGATAGGAGCCTTACGAAGACGGACTTTTTTATTTTTTTTAAACGACCTAGGCTCCCAGGTGGATGCAGCCTTGAGTGGGTACTAAGTGTATTCCCTTGAAATAAAGGAGGCATGCGGGATATTGACCACGTCACCCACCGAGTGAAGATTAGGATAAGATTAGGATCCCTTGTCACGCCTTTAGGTGCATATGGGAAGAGCGCTCATTTTTTCCCCCCCCCCAGACCATCGGCACTAGGTGGGTAATGTGGTCAGCATTACGCCGGCGTCTCTACTTTCCCAGGACAGCCATCCTAGTACCCATTTTAGGCTGGGTCGACCTGCGACGCCCCATACCATGATAAAATCCACGCATTGAGTGAAGATTGGTCTATAAAATATAGGTCTAGCCCTATATGCCCAATACACATACAGGCGTGGCAAAGGTTTTTTTTTAAAATTTACTTACTTGAAACTGTCTCAACTTTTCGTGTCCCATACACTGTCAGATTCTGCTCCAACTGTTACATTAACTTTTTCTGTCCAATAGTATAATTATTTTAATATCTTCACACCCAGACATTTGAGACTCGTAATTCCAACGTACCGCTATCGAAACCCACTGTTGGCTGCATGGATTTTTATCATGGTTTGGGGCGTCGCAGGTCGACCCAACCTAAAATGGGTACCAGGATGACTGTCCTGGGGAAGTAAAGACGGCCAGCGTAATGCTGACCACATTACCCATCTAGTGCCGATGGTCTGTAAAAATATGGGCGCTCTTCCAATATACCCAATACGCCTAAAGGCGTGACAATGGATCTTTACTTTACAACAAGACATTTATTAATTGAAGAAATAACTTCCTACGATAGATTTAAGTAATACCCGTTTGGGACTGAAAAGTTGAGATGAAAATTACATGTTTATTTACAGAGCTGGAAGATAAGTTGCCCGAAGATAATGATGATGATGATGTGTGGCCATCGGTGGAGGAGTGACCATTTCATCTCATAAAGACTTCTTGACCAGGGGACAGACACACCTCTTCTGCCATGACTGTATTTATGTCTCTCCTGACATGTGCCCGTTTCTCACATTGCATGTAATGTAGAGAAGAGATCTCGTTGTTAAAGAATCTGTGAAGTCAGTATTGTGCATGTTAACGGCATTTGCTTGCCGGCTGTATCATAGCCACATTTATGTAGCCTGCTTGCTTCTCCTTTCCGTTTAGTTATCCCAGTGATGTTTTTGATTTCTTGATGTAACTTTACATCAGTCAAGCAATGCATTCTTGCTTTACATCAAGCAACAACATTGCATTCTTGATGTATTTTTATATCAGTCAACAATACTGCATTCTCGATGTATTTTTATATCAGTCACCAATATTTAAATCTTGATTTGTCTTTACATCATTCCAAAATATTGAATTCTTGATGTATTTTTACATCAATCAACAACACCGAATTCTTGATGTGTAGTTAAGTCCATCGAACAATGCATTCTTGGTCTAGCTTTCCCTCACTCAGAAATACAAATTGAATTCTTGATGCATCTTCACATCATTCCAAACCATTGGATTCTTGATGTATCTTCACATCATTGCAAACCATTGAATTCTTGATGTATCTTCACATCATTCAAAACCATTGAATTCTTGATGTATCTTCACATCATTCCAGACCATTGAATTCTTGATGTATTTTCACATCATTCCAAACCATTGAATTCTTGATGTATCTTCACATTATTCCAGACCATTGAATTCTTCATGTATCTTCACATCATTCCAAACCATTGAATTCTTGATGCATCTTCACATCATTCCAAACCATTGAATTCTTGATGTATCTTCACATATTCCAATCCATTGAATTCTTGATGTATGTTCACATCATTCCAAACCATTGAATTCTTGATGTATTTTTACACCAGCCAACAACACTGAATGCATTTAATCAAACAATGTATTTTTGGTGTAACTTGAACCTGAGTCAGAAAAAAAAAAACATGAATTCTTGATGTATCTGCACCAGTCAGGCAAATCGTTTCTGATGCATCTTTCTTAACATCAATCGGACCGTGGGTACATTAATAAAGAAACTATACTATATTCACACACTACGTAAATGAATATCTTAACATTTTTTATCCAACGGTTCTCTAATTTACCTCAACATTAACCAAAGCGACAAATCCTTGATTTTCACTACATCAGTTAAGCTCAACAATAATTATAATGACACGTGGAATGCAAACATTTGTAACAAACACAAACTAAGCCAGACCTAATGAATTATTTACACTTACATTTGCACACATAATACTTTCTGCTTAATTAGGATACTGTAATTGTTGCCCTAAACACTAAATAACTCCCCCTCCCCACCCACAAGAACAGGATTGCTCTGTTGTGTCATGTGATTATAAAGTTCCTTTGTAATGGAGATGTGAGATAGAACTGGGATGAGTAACATTTTCCGATTTACTGCTCTGACTGGAAAGCGTCTGTGATACTTTCATATAACATCTATATTTCTTTGTTGATTAGTGGAAATAAATCAGTTCCACTCGTGATGGCAGTCGTTCTCATTTGTTCTCATTTCTTGTTGTAATTTACTTCTAATATCAGATAATGCCAGATGTTATAGACATTTCAGTAATTACAGTAGAGTAGAAGATAGAATCAGGAATACAATCATATGAGACAGAGTCGACAAGGAACCAAGATTTAATTACGTAAGACTGCAAAAACAATGGTTTGCCTGCTTGGAGATGACGAGATGTTGCCTTTCGACTCTATATCATACACGGCTTACACCGAAAGAGGAGAGAGACACAGATCACGAAGTAGTTCTAGAACATTATGGAAGGATAACATCAAAGACATTCCACGGCAGAACGATGTGCCTATAGTCGAAGCAGCCAGAAGTTTGACCCTTCCGGCCTGCTTCCTAAAGGTTTACCATCTGAGAAAGACCCACTGCGTCCTAACAAGCGTATCGTTAAAGACGATAAGTAAGATAACATTTGCTGAAATCGGATGTGTTGGGCCGGGAACTAGAGCAGATGTCACTGTCTAGCTGTAAATTACAAATCAAGTCAAAGTCCGAAGAAGACACCATACACCGAGACCACGCAGCCTCTAGACAACAGATGGTAGCCGCAGTTAAGTGTGAGATTAGCAGTACGATTCCACCTAGTCTGCCTCCGTTTCTCTGCACTTGCAACCTCCGCTACCTGGCAGGCCGATGCACCACGCCTGAGGGGCGTACGCCACCCAGAACGGTCTTGTGCAGCAGCCTCCAGGGTCGCTGTGTTGATGAAAAAAGAATCGATAGCAGTCTTGAGAGTGTCCTTATGGCGCTTTTTCTGTCCT